ATTCAGCCCGAGGCTATTCTCCACCGATGATTAAGTTCATTAAGCACCTATTTGAGTGAATTTATTTTCGGATGGCATTTTCATAATTTTTTGGGCGATTTTTTTGGAAAGGCCATTTTCCTTGGATTTTGAAGGCTACAAATCACGGATTCGGCCTGAGGCTATTCTTCAACCATGATTAAGTCCATTAAGCACTGATTTGGGCGGATTTTTTCCGCGTCCATTTTTGACAGATTCCAAAGGGGGTACCATCACAAATTTTGGGCGATTTTTGCGAAATATCATTTTCTTTCGATTTTCGAGGCTACAAATCACAGATTCAGCCTGAGGCTATTCTCCACCGATGATGAAGTCTATTGATCCTATTCTCCATAAGTTCATTAAGCACCGATTTGAGCGAATTTATTTTTGGATGGCATTTTCGTAATTTTTTGGGTGTTTTTTTGTAAAGGCCATTTTCCTTGGATTTTGAAGGTTACATATCACGGATTCGACCTGAGGCTATTCTTCAATGACGATTAAGACCATTAAGCACCGATTTGGGCGGATATCTTCCGAGTTCATTTTTGACAGATTCCAAAGGGGTACAATCACATATTTCGGGAGATTTTTGGGGAAAATGTCATTTTCTTTCGATTTTGGAGGCTACGAATCACGGATTCAGCCCGAGGCTATTCTCCACCGATGATGAATTCTATTGATCCTATTCTCCACCGATGATTAGTCTATTAAGCACCGATTTGAGCGAATTTATTTTTGGATGACATTTTCGATAAATTTTTGGCGATTTTTTTGGAAAGCCATTTTCCTTGGATTTTGAAGGCTATAGATCACGAATTCGGCCTGAGACTATTCTTTAACGATGATTCAGTCCATTAAGCACTGATTTTGGCGAATTTCTTCCGGGTCCATTTTTGACAGATTCCAAAGGTGTAACATCTTAGATTTCGGGCGATTTTTGCGAAATGTCATTTTCTTTCGATTTTGGCGATTTCAACGATGATTAAGTCCATTAAGCACCGATTCGAGCGAATTTATTTTCGGATGGCATTTTTGTAATTTTTTGGATGATTTTTTTCGAAAGGCCATTTTTCTTTGATTTTGAAGGCTACAGATCACGAATTCGGTATGCGGCTATTCTTCAACGATGTGGGGCGGATTTCTTCTGGGTTCATTTTTGACAGATTCCATTGGGGTACTATCAAAGATTTCGTGCGATTTTTCCAAAATGTCATTTTTCGCTTTTGGAGGCTACAAATCACGGATTCAGCCCGAGTCTATTCTCCACCGATAATGAAATCTATTGATCTTATTCTCCACCGATGATTAAGTCCATTTAGCACCGATTTGGGTAAATTTATTTTCGGGTGATATTTTCACAACTTTTTGGGCATTTTATTTTCGAAAAGTTATTTTCCTTGAATTTTGAAGATTATTGGTCACGAATTCGCCCTGAGGCTATTCATCAACGATGATTAAATAAATTAAGCACCGATTTAGACAGATTTCTTCTGGATTCATTTTTGGCAGCCAGAATTGCTTCAATACATTGGCGACAACTCCTCTAACAGCAAGCACTTCGATTTATAACCCACCACCACCTACAAATGAAGCCGTCAATGGTTGTGTTATTCTCCGTTCTCAATCTCACTCTTTGACACTCTAGAACAACCGACGAAAAGATAACACAGATTCTCACATGTCCAGCTACTGAGTCTATTCCTTTTCCTTATTCTTCTTCTTTTTCTGATCCCTTCCCTGATACCTAGGGATGGCAAATTACCCACCCATGGGTAATTATACCCAAACCCAAGTAGACCCATTGATAATGGGTTGGGTATGGGTGAACTGCATATGGATTTGGGGGTTTATAGATGGGTTTGGGTAAGGTATGAATATTCCTTCCATAATCTAAATGGGTATAGGTTGGATATGGATATCCATTTACTTGAGGGTGTTTTAACTACACATGCAAAAATTGGACCTATTTGTAAAACTTAAAAAGTTTAGGTACCAAAATGTAAGACCAAAAAAATTTAGGTACCAAAATGTAATTTTCCATCGATATTTTGAGGAATTATATGCAAAAAAATTAAATTTAGGTACTAAATATGCATATCTATTAAGTTTGGGTACCAAACTGTAATTTGTATTTGGGCATGGGTACAAACCCAAATCCATTTGATATAAACCCAACTCAACCCAAAGTAAATGGGTATGGGTACAAACCCATCAAACTCTACCCATATCCATCTATTTGGATTTCATACCCAACCCAATTGGGTTGGATAGTAAGAAACTCATAGGTATGGGCAAAGTTGCCATCCCTACTGATACCTAGAACCGTCGACCCAGATCGTCAAAAGGGCTTCCAATTCTAGAGATCGAAAGGGAGGAGGCTCTTCTTGTCCATCTGTATCGATTTGATGCGGAGAAGAAATGGGAGGAGAAAGAGAAACCATGGCCATTAAAATTACTAGTGTGGGCCCCGGCAGGAGGAAGGTGAGGTATGAAATTTGATAATGTAATGGGGTGTATAGCTTATTATTGTATAGTTTTTTTTGGGAAACACGTGATAAAAATAATGAATTTTAGTAGGAAAGAGACATAAATGATGCAACGAATCAAAAATCAGCCTTATGAACCAAAATCAAGTATCTGTTTCCTTGTGAAACAATATCGTTTCAGGTAATATGATGAGGTGGAGTAAGTTTTATAGAAACCGAATTCTAGAAAATCGAATAAAAAATCGTCTATCCCGCCGGTTTTCAGGAAATGAGCATCTCACAATCGTTGCTAGCTTTTACTCGTCCCGTTAGCCGATTAATTTGCTTTATAAAACTTTCATCTTGTCATCATTGTGCTTTCTTGTTTTTTGTCAAGTCATGATAAAATCTAAAGAAATCAAGAATGAACAACACGATTTGGGATAGGAACCACCGTTCCTGTATCCCTAGAAAATGGTGGTAAACACGGACTCACCTGCCAAACTGGTTTGGATTGAGATTTTTATCGGGTATCAAGGACCATGTGATTATAAATTAAACTTGATCAAAACAGGCCAAAACTTGAAATTCAGCATGTTTGACCGACCCATGCCAAACTCTAATTATTCTTTACTTTTAAACTTTCTATTTGAAAATAAAAACTAATGAAAGAAAATAGATGACTGCAATTCGCCCTTTGCACATCACTGATTCGGGAATAAAACGATTGAATTCCGAAAGGAAACTGAAAATGTTTAGGATCGTTTTAATGTTAAAAATAACCAAATAGATCTTTATGTTTAGTTTTTTACTAACAAATACCAAACGATCCCCTATAATATACACTATAAATTAATCATTATGATATCAAATAATTACATAATATATATTTGAAATGATAAAATTGGACTAATTGGGTTGGTCGAGGTTGAACCATTGAATAACTTTAAAATACATTATATTTTAGCCACTAAGATATAAAATAATAGTATAATATATATTATGCTAGAGAAAATAGCTTGTTTTAGAATGGCAAACTCATGATGTTCATTTGTTTTACTTGATGGGCAAATCCCATGTAGGTCAGGCTCATTCAACTCTTTTGTTTTATGATTAGCGGTTAGCCCATTAGAATCCGTGCATTAGTTTATTGTTAATTTTTTGTTAGCAATAAAAAGGAGTATTGTTTTTGCCTTTTCGTATATATTTTACCACCACGGAGAAATAAAAGGATTTAAAGAAAAAAATTGACACTCCTGGACCCATTTAAATCCGCATGTATACGGTAAGTTGGCCCGTTCCACAGAGAAAAAAGAAAAAAAATTGACACTCCCTATTCTACCCTTCCTACAAACGCTCCTGGAGCAGGGAATTTGAAATGGGGGAAGAGTTTTTTCCTCTCTGCGATTATATGTTTTTAATTTAAAAAGATACAACAAATGTACTTAGTGTGATTGGTTATGATCTTTGCTTTTCTTTAAAGTGGTCATGGTTCGAATCCTAGTAAGTGTCTTTTTAATGAATAAAAAAAAAGATTGTGAAGACCAAAATGTTTTTCCTACTTTCACTCTGGATGCAGGAAATTTGAAATGATGCTTCAAATTTTCTCATTTGACTTTTATTTATTGTGTAGATTATCGCTCGGAAAAGGAGAGAGGAAGGTATCATGTGCAGTCGGTTTTCATGGGCCAACGACTAAAACTTGGTCAACCCAAAGTGGTATAGCATCTAAACAGCCTGCAGATGAACAAAAAACTCTCATGAACAGTGAATCCCAAAAATTTCTTTTGCAACCGTACTTTTTATATATTATGAATGTAACTCGAATCATTGAAACATGCCACACTTAGTCACAACTAACGGGAGAGTGACTAAGTGTGACATGTTTCAGTAATTTGAGTGACCAAAATTGATATTAATTTTTTCTAGTGACTAAACATGACATGATTTAGTAATCTCAGTGACCAAATGTGGCATTTACCCTATGATTTAATAATTTTAATTTGAGGTATTGTATTTTTCTACACATTACATAATATTTTATTGTTTATTACATTAGATGCTTAATTACATGAAATTATCAAGTTGCCGTTTGCTTGTGAGATTTGGTCATTTGGGTGATGGATTTGAGTATTTGACACTCAAATTCACAATTATTATGGCTTAAACAACTCCATTGATTATTCTGGATCTCACGAATTTACAGGTCTCACATTTCACTTAGTATTTGGTTGATAAAAGACAAATTAGTAGAAGCCATATTAGACAATGTTATAAATTCATTATAAAAATAAACTAAACAAACAATAATCTCTGTCAATTCCATCATAAAATTCAATTTTGTTTACAACTCTCGTTTTCAAATCTAATAACCACTTTCTTGCCCGGGGATCAGTAAGACATGGAGGGAATATTCTTTGTTGCAAAAGAATAATGAATTTATACCCAAGAAGGTGCTTGAAACTAAATAATAAGATTAAGATTATACATACTAGATTAGGTACCAAAATTTATATTCTACAAGGAGATGGATAGAGCCTAGAGGGGTCAGAGGAGATTAGGAATGGCAATGGGGCAGGTCTGGGGCGGGTTTCTTGGTACCCAGACCCGCCTCATGGCAGGTCGGGTACAGGTCGGTAATTTATCACGGGTCGCGGGTCAGGGCAGGTCGACCCATTGGGTATGGAATTTATATGAAAAACATTAGAAATATTCGTTATTTTTATTATAAGATCAGGAAAACAAATAATATTATGATAAATGTAGTTAATTTCTTGGAGAAATTGAGGTTTTCACTAATTTACAACTTTATTATAGTTAAAATATGATGCAATAAAAGGAAAATCCTAAGTAATTTGACTAAAATTACATGTAATTTAGGAAAGAACGGGTCGAGAATGGGGCGGGTCAGGGCAGGTCGGGTCGATGAGAGTACCCATGCCCGCCCCGCTCCGACTACGGGGCGGGTCGGACCCGGCCCAAAACAGGCCAAACAGATCAGGTAAAACGGGTCAGGTCGAATTTGCCATCCCTAGAGGAGATTGACATTTCAAGAAACCGTTAGGTCAGTTCCCACCAAACAAAATTTCCGGAATTTCACACAAAATCGAATTTGTGAGGCTATTTGTATCTTCTCCCTTTTAAATTATCGGTTACCCCTAGCGTAAATAATAAATATGCAATTATATGTACCATCAATGATAAAATCAAACATTTCAACACATAAGTCATAAAACCCTAACATGATTCGAATATTTAAGTCTCAAAACAAGTACAAACATTAAAAAAAAAATCAATTATAGTTATTCGATTTTTCGGTCAAAATTTTGGAATTTCGATTCGATTGAAAGAACCTTGATTTTCGAAATATTCATATTTCCCTTCCGAATTTCGAACCGAATAGCATTATTTTGATTTTGGTTCGATTTAGTTCAGATTCGGTTCGATTCCAGTTTATCGAGCCTGTTGCCCACCCCTAGTTGGGTGGTTTTGTGGATCCACGCTGTGTTGGCCCGGGCCTGATTCGGCTGCATCGGGCTGGGTTGGGCCGAGCCTGATTCTTTCGCACTTGTCATTTATTTTTTTATTTTTTTTTATCTTATTTCCATCATTTTAAAACAAAATTCGTTTCTTGGCAACTGGATCAATCGGCCTATCCCTCGAACGCCGACGCGACTTCCCAAAATCGTCGCCGTCAACTGTTACCAAGCCACCGGTCTGCCTCCCAGACCTTCGTTAGTCTCTTTTATCTTCCCCGCCAAGGAATTGCCAGTATATGTATTAAGGCGTACGATTTTCTCGGCAAACAATCGGAAAGATGAATGCTTTGCTATCTATGCTCCTGTTAATGTCTTCCGTTCCGTCGCCGGCGTTTCCTGTTATCCTAAGCTCCAGAATCTGATCGATCTTCTTTGATTGGTTGGTTTAATATCCTAGCTTTGTTCCATTTGGATGATTTGGGCATTGTGTAGTTGATGAGAGTTGACCAATTGGGTGGATTAGGGTTTTAGTCTGTTGCCCCTCCTCCGCTCGGGGTATTTATCGGGCTGAAGCGATTAGGCGAATTGGTGCTTCCCAGTGAGAACTATTCAGAGTAGTTAGGGACTTGATAGTAGGTCTATGGCGGATCGTAGCATCACCAGCAGTAACAACGCTTTAGCTAAGCCGATATGGATGAAGCAAGCGGAAGAGGCCAAGCTGAAGAGCGAGACCGAGAAAGCTGCGGCTGCAAAGGCTGCATTCGAGGCCACGTTCAAAGATGTGAGTAACAAACCAGAAAACCCTGCTCTGGACTCGGACTCAGATGAAGAAGAATACGAGAGAGATCTGGCTAACAAGCCCATTGGCCCTGTCGACCCGGCTAAGTGTACCGCTGCTGGTGCAGGCATTGCTGGCGGAACGGCTTGTGCTCCTTCGACCTTCATGGTGGTGGCTAAGGATGCTGATGGAAGGAAGGTGCCTCACGGTGGAGCTCAGATTAAGGTGACGGTGTCCCCTGGAGTAGGTGTTGGGGGAACAGCGCAGGATGGGATTGTGAAGGATATTGGAGATGGCTCGTATACGGTCACGTATGTGGTGCCCAAGAGGGGGAACTATATGTTGCATATAGAATGTGATGGAAAACCCATCATGGGTAGTCCATTCCCTGTGTTCTTCAGTCAAGGTAACTCCAGAAACTGTAGTTAAGACTTTGTTGTAGTGGTGCTTAGTTGGGGGAATCCTATATTATTCTGATATATTTCTTTGTAGATATAGATGTAAATTGTGATAACTCCTTAATTATTAGTGTCTAGCTCTTCTGCTTATTGTCATTGCAAGGAATATAGAACACAGCAGATCTTCCTTTCAGTCAATAAGTTTAATTTATTTCTTTATTCATGGTATGTTGGCTTCATCATGTGCTATCTCTTTAATGTTGAAGTGACCTTGCTTTCAGGATGTGTTGTGTCCTTCTGTCATGTTAGTTTCTCAGGCTTCCATAGTACTTTACTGAACTCTTTGGGTATGTAATTGTTGTTGTCCAGGCACTTCAACTGGTGGAGTACTTGGTGTGGCTCCTGCTTCGACATATCCAAACCTTGTCAATCAGACTATGCCCAATATGCCTAATTATTCTGCATCGATGTCTGGGTCTCTCCCTGGACTGTTAAGTATGATTCCAGGAATTGTTCCTGGTCCTTCTGGTGGTGTTGTCTTGCCAGGAATTGGAGCATCACTTGGGGAAGTTTGTAGGGAATTTCTTAATGGTCGATGCACTCAATCGGATTGCAAGCTGAACCATCCTCCCCACAACTTACTGATGACTGCATTAGCAGCAACCACCACAATGGGCACTCTCAGTCAGGTGCCTATGGCACCTTCAGCTGCTGCTATGGCTGCTGCTCAGGCTATTGTTGCTGCTCAAGCTCTTCAAGCTCATGCTGCTCAGCTGCAAGCAGCACAGTCTAGTAAAGATACATCTGGTAGCTCTTCTTTTTTGCTGTGGTGTTGTTGCCTGTGACGTGCTTCAGATTTATTTTCTGCTTGGATTATGTCCCTGTGTTTTTTTTTTTTTTTTTTGTGTTCGCTCGCAGAATTTAAGTTCTGCGATTATTGACATAGATTGTTTGTTCAATTAGGTCCATCTGACAAAGTTGGCAAGGACGAGGCACTCAAAAAGACGCTCCAAGTTAGCAATGTCAGCCCACTGCTGACAGTTGAACAGCTGAAACAACTTTTCAGCTTCTGTGGCACGGTTGTGGAATGTACACTTACTGATTCAAAGCATTTCGCATACATAGTGTACTCGAAACCCGAAGAAGCAACCGCCGGTTTGGCACTGAACAATATGGATGTTGGTGGACGTCCTCTGAATGTGGAGATGGCTAAATCACTTCCCCCGAAACCAGTTGTAAACTCTTCAGCGTCCTCTTCTTCTCTGCCTGTGATGATGCAGCAAGCTGTTATAATGCAACAGATGCAATTTCAACAGGCTTTACTTATGCAACAGACAATGACTGCACAACAAGCAGCTAATCGTGCTGCAACCATGAAGTCTGCAACAGAGTTGGCTGCTGCGAGAGCTGCAGAGATAAGTAAGAAGCTAAAAGCTGATGGATTTGTTGATGAAGAAGAACCTAAGAAAGAGAAGTCGAAGTATGTCATCCTGTCTATTAGGCTATGTTATTTTTTGCTTTGTGTGTTTCTTTGCTGTACCTTAAGTGTGAGATTGGAAATGATGGAATTTGAAATTGGCATTTGTTCTCCTGATCTGGTTGGATCACAAACTTGGTCCAGTTTTATGTAGATCAGCCTTTCGCAAGTGTTAACCTATCTTGATTTGTTTTGCCATTCCTTGGTAACTCTAACCATGTTTATATTCATATGCCTCAGCATCGATATTCATTGTGATAATTCCATGTCATACCTTAGACATCTTGCATTTTCTTTATCAACTAATGAGTTCACTGATGTTCCAAGGTCGCCATCACCTCCTCGAGCGAGGTCCAAGTCGAGGTCCAGATCACCAATCAACTATCGGAGAAAGCGAAGGTCTCCTTCTTACTCACCTCCGCCACACCGCCGCAGGGAACGTAGATCTAGGACACCCTTGAGATCTCGGAATTACTCGAGGTACGACAGTGGTAGGCGTTCTTTCAGAGATCCCAGAGATGATAACGGCAGAAATAGGAGAAGGGATTTGGATAGATCTTATGACCGTGATTTTTCTGCTTCAAAGCGACGTAAGAGTCGAAGTGTGAGCCCTCGAAGACGAAAATCCTACCGGGAGGAATCTGGTTCTCCAAGACGGCACCGTGATAGTCCACCACACAGGACAAGAAAATCATCTCATGGTGGGTCAAGATCACCAAGGCGTCACCGAGCTAGCAGGTCATCTCCTAGAATTGATGGTAATAGCAAGTTGAAACAAAGGGAACGCTCTCTCTCTAAAACTCCAGAAGAGTCCAATGACAGGACAAATGGAGCCCAAGATGAAGAAATAAAGCAACAGGAAAGGAGATCGAGATCACTTTCTAGTGAATCCAGGCCGGTTCAAGGTAAGTCCTCCCCAACGAGCTCAAATGATTCTGATCAAAAGCAGAAGAGGAGGTCCAGGTCTAATTCCATAGACACGAAGCATCATGTGGATGAGAAATTGGATGAGAGTTCTAAAGGTGGAAGTTCCAGACGTCGTGGAAAGAGGTCTCGATCACGATCAGCAGAACGTGGTCACAAGTCTAAAGAAAAAGGAACTGGAAGCAGAGATAAGAAGTCAAAGCATCGTGACAGAAACCGTTCAAGATCCTTATCAGCAGAAGATAAGCATCACAGAAAAAGTAGGTCATCCCCAAGAGGCAGGGATGGTGATAGATCAAAGCATAGAAGGCACACCAATTCAGCCTCCCCCGATGGTGAAAAAACCAGGCACCAAATAGATGAGAGCAGGGATAGAAAACTTAACCATCGCAGCAGAAGAAGGTCAAGGTCAACTGAAGGCAAGAATCACAGATCTCCTAGAGAGCTTGATGAATATGAATCGAAGGAGAAGAAGCACTTAAGGTCTAAATATGCAGAGCGCAGGCGTCGCTCAAAAGATGGCAGGGATAGAAAGAAGGATGATAATGTGTCTGATAATGAGGGCAGGTCGCACAGAATTAAACATCATACTAAAGAGAAAAGTTATATTGAAGAAGACTCTTCAAGGACTAGGGATGACGGACTGTTGCGGTCCAAAGAAAAAGACCTTCATTTGAATCAATCTGTAAAAGACGTGACAGCAGAAGATGATGAGAATCAAAATGGTAGTTTTACGCCAGATGGTAATACTGATGGGGAAGGTGCAGTACCATTGACTGAGGATCCATAGCATGGGTATGTCTACTGCTTCAAAATGGGGGACATAAATGTTAGGTTTATTTGATCTTGACAAAATTGGTGATTGCTTGGTGTGGTTTGCAGGAATCATGATGCCAGGAACATTGGATTTCAGAGGTCGGCATGGCTGGAAAATGGCAGAGTTTATACATGCAATATCAGAACTGGGAACAGCCATCTCATGATTCGGCCAATGCTGACGAGAGTTGTGTTGCGAGATTTGAAAGCTAACGGGGGAAGCGGAGAGGGCCTCTTTGTTTTGGATAAGGGGTGTTTTTGAGAAGACTTGTTAGAGTTTCTTTGGAGCTAGGATTCTCTGCCAGTAGCTGGCTCCTTATGAACATGCACCTTTTTTTTTTGTTTGCTATCTTTGCAGGTCCATACTGACTGGGTTGGAACTAGCCCTTGGGCCCGAGCTGACTTGATATGGCCAAGTATCCCAAGAGCTATGGCCATTTGCATCTCTACCTACAATGTTTGTAGCCTATAACTGCTAGATGTATGTGGAGCTTCTTCTATTTCTGCCTTCTGGATATTTTGGATAAAGTATTGCTTTCAACAGTTTGTGCATTTACCTTGCTTTTAGTTAGAGTGTGAATGATGTCTGATGTTATTGTGGGAAAGGCCGGAGAAGGTGCTTTGTCTTTCATATAGTGAAAGATGGTGGATCTTTCACTTGAAAGGCCCTTTTCGATATGTTTTGCATGCTTTCTTTAGTCCACTTGTAGGCTATGCCTTTGGTGATTATGCATGTGACAGTTTAGACGTAGGTTCCAATTTTTCCTACCTTTGTGGTTTAGTGGACCAGTCTTATACCAAATACGTGCAGGTTCAACAAGCTGCGTTACTGAAATCAAGTGAAACCAGATAGTTCTCCTTTTCCCTGAGATCTGGAATGTTGACATAATAGTGATCCAAAAAGTAGAGGTATGAAGCCATGTAGTGGGAGCTTCCATACTAAGTTTCCTACTTGGTGCTCTTATGAATTATGATTAATAACGAATTGCATTGGATAGAATTGGCAGTGTTCAAGTAGCTTGTGAATGCTGTTATAAACCTGGTGCCTTATTTCTTCTGGTCTTTTTTCTTTTTGTTTTCCTTTCCCCCACCCCCTATTCTCTCCTTTCCCTTCTTTTCTCCTTCCAAGGTATATGGTTTGGTTAGTGAAGCTACTTTTGAGGTCAAAGTGAAGCTGTGGCAGGGGTGAATAGGCGCGGAGTTTTGCTGTGCTCAAGTATGTGAAGATTGGCCATCTCCACTGTTCGATCATGTATTTCAGCAGGTAATATTTTCGTTAAAATTCCCTGGGAGAAGAGCTGGGTTCTCAGGATATGAAGCTCTCATTTTCTATCTTCCATGTGCGCACTTGGATGGATCAACAGTGTGTTCTCCAGTATCTGTGTGGAAATTGTTTTGAGTTGATTGTGCTTTAGGTCATCTATACCTTGGTCCTATGGAGTGATCAATAATGCTTATGGGATAGGGCTTATTGTTGTTTTACTCTTTGCCTTTTTCTGTTTCCTTCTTCTTTTCCACCTTTTTTTTTTTCCCTTTTCCTTTTTTGAGACCTGTGAAGCAGATGGATACAAGGTGAGGCTGCAGGAGCTGGACGGTCTTGCCAGCCACCGGAGTTGGAGCCTTTCCGGAGTGATTTTTCCATCTCCGCCCCAAAGCAGTGATCTTGTTTTCCGTTCAATTTGGTTTTACTCAGTCTGCTATTTTTTCGAGTCGCATTGTCACATCTCAAGTAGCTCTGCATACTGCAACCAGGCTACGGTGCATCAGCGGGCACCCTATGCGTCGCGCGTCGGCAAAAATGCTAGGAGATCAGTTGTATAGGGAGCCCCTGGATTCACCGGCCGATTAGATGAGGTGGTGACACGCTTGAGGAGAATTGTTAGATGGCATTTGTTTCACTTAATTACTTGAATCATTCAGTTTTGGTAATAATAGTTTGCCAAATGGATTGGATGGGAGGACTATACTCCGCCCATCCAACGTATCTGTTGAAGGGACGAACACCATTGTCAAGAAGTACAACAAGCTTTTAAGGTTGCTGCCGTTATCTCGATTGCTTCAAGTTCAAGGCATAGGGGAAGCTAGGTAGGTAAGCAGCAAGACCTCTGACTCTCTTGATGTCAAAATCTGTCGAAAAAAGCGCAGCTTGAGCATTGGATGGCCTTCAAAGGTCATAATTGAGCGATGACACACGCGATGGGACCAAAGATCACGGAAGATCGGATTGAAACTACACCTTTCCGTTCCATCCTAAAGTTGCCGAAAATTTGTAGGAACCAGGAAAAGAGTTTTATTTGAGGTTTTGAGCACAAACCCAACAGAATAGTTGAATTGAATTTTCTTTCTTGGTGAAAAAAAAGGAATGGGGTGAGAGAGGCTCGAACTCTCGACCTCAGGATCACTCTTTGGCTATGAGACCTACGCGCTAACCAACTGCGCCACCACCCCGTGTTGACATTGAATTAAAATTTACTCTTAAAATCTATCCTATTGTCTCCTGTGATTGTACTCCAAACCAGTGTCCATTAAACCGTACCGTACCGGCGGTTCAACCACGAAATATCATTATCGGAGGCTAAAACCGATATGCGGTATTTACCGGTATAACGGTTGAACTACGATTAAACCACGGTTTTACCATAAAATACCCTAACGCTGACTTTTCCGGTACGGTTTCATGGACCATGCTCCAAACATACGCAATTACTCGGGTAAGTACACAGATATATATTTGTTAATTGGGAAAATCGGCTCTTTGCTCACCACCTTCCCCTAAAAGTCTCCATAATAACTGGTGATGTTTGGTGGAGTCATATTTTAATTTTCTCCCTTGCTTTGCCAATTGTGCGTCTTTTTCACTTGAACGATGACCAAAGGAAAATGTCCAATTTTTGCCAGGCGTGGATCATGCTACCATATTTTATTCTATTGTTAATACTGTGAACAAATTCTTGTTCTGGACGATGACTCCATTGAAGCAGGGGCTGCGCCACGCACTGCTTTGGACCAGATCATCTCTAAGCTAATATGATGCGGTCCGGTCTTGTGGGTTTTATAAATACTGGAAAAAAATGAATCGAATTGATATTTGGATCGGATCAAATCGGATCGATGCAATGAAAGATTCTTGATTCAAAAATATCTTTTACTATCGAACCACTATTCTCATACTTTCTTACTCCATTTCTTGCCTAGTGATGAATGATGATGAAACCTCCAAAGTACAGGAACATGTAACTACTCCGATAAGTACATGATTTGCCAGCTCTCCATGCAGTGCTTCACATGTATTCTATTCACGAGGAAGAAAGAATATGTAGCTATATAAGTACACAAATATATACAATAACTAGGTGGTGATGTTGCGTATTGTCGCGGGGCGGAGATGACCTATGGGCATTTATTATGTGGCCAGTTATGATGCTTTGTTAGTATTATTAGTCTAAAATTAATTTTTTGTCAGCTGTTTTGTTAGTAATATAGACTGAGAAGAGATATATGATGGTCAACCTTCTTTTCTTTCTTTCTTTTTTTTTTTTGAAAATTTTGGCTAATAAATCATATTTACCTAAACCCAAGTAGACCCATTTATTATGGCCTTATGGGTAGGGTATGGGATGACGTATATATGAGTTTGGAAGTTTGTAGATGGGTTTGGTAGGATATGAATATTTACTTTCATAATTTAAAGGTGTATGAGTTGGGTATGGATACAAATTATTCGAGGGTGTTTTAATTACACATACAAAACTTAGACCTATTCGTAGATACCTAGCCAAACATTCCATGTATATTTGTTGAAAATTCTAGTCCGGGTGAAAAAGAAAAACTCTAGAGAGAAGCAAAAGGAATACAAACTGGAACTCGTTTAAAATTTCACGTCTTCAAATCTCATAGTGAAAAATGACGACTTTCTAATAAATAATAACCATTTATTTTTATTTTTATTTTTATTTGGACTCGACATTGAGATGAAAAAGTAAGTGGTTCATGGTTCAATCATTAATTCTCTAGAGTGTTTGGTCAGTGGTGTAAGGACCCGTTCATATTTTGATTAGAATACATAAAAATAGTATACTAATTAGGGTTAGACGAAGAATGCAAAAAAATAAATAAATAAAGGGTTATGGAAGGCGAGTGAAAAATGAAACGAAGATGAAGTAGATGAAGGAAAGGTTATGACCAATTCTTTTAGTTGGCCGTCAATACAACAATCAACAATTTTTGTCGTAGCAATTTATTGACACTTGCTTATGTAGATGTCGCATATTTTGTTACATGTAGTTAGTAGAAGTTTATTTAGTACCCCATAAATGTACTAAATGAGTTTATAAATTCGCTCTTGCAAAATTTTAGATCGAGTCGTCTCTCTTTTATCATTTATTTAATGTTTCAGGTAATGAGTAAATATAAAATGGTCGAATCTTCTCATACAGTTGAGTGATACAACATCTTGTATCGACGTATGGTACAAACTAAATATATACTTTTATGTTATGGTGGATTGGATTCATGGGTTGGTTCAAAAGGATTGGTGGATTGGATTCATGGATTCAAGTGAAATCTAAACATTGGACCAATATGTAAATTTAAAAAACTGTAGGTGCAAAAAAACTCATAAAATTTAGATACCAAAACATAATTATTCAATAATTTACGTTAAAAATAAATTTCGAGTATCAAAATGTAAAATGTATATTATAGTGACTAAGTTGTAATTTAATTAAATTTGAGTATCAAAATGTAATTATTTATGCAACGGTAACCTCACTTTACGTTTACATATTAATTAATTAATAATTAATTAATTTTTGGGTTGTTGTTGATTGAATATTACAAACCAATAACTCATGTGATATGGTAGAGGTATCATGCAGATTCCTATAAAAAAAGTGATATGGTAGAGAGTAGAGACTCAACGCCAAATCTCTTGTGGTTATTTGTCAATTGGGAAGGGAAGATCAATGGTGGGGCTCTTTGTATATTTCTCTATTGCTTTCTCAATTGTGTGTCATTTTCAGTTTTCACTTGAATGGCGACCAAAGGCAGATTCTCAAGTTATATATATTCAATTTTTCTCATTTCTAATCGAATTTTGAATTGTGTCAGAAGCAATAAGATCCCAACTGCAATCAGTTAAATAAAAATGAGCAACGTTGAGGATAAATCTAATGGCCAGATAGTTTTCACGTCGTCGTGAATATTGAAGAAGTAAATCGACACTATATATATATATCAGTCTATTTTTTTCTTTCAATATACAACCTAAATCATAATCATCTCTTTGTTTGTGAGTTTTTTTTTATGAACGCCAAATAAGTTGAAGGTCAATTATATGACAAACTCCGACAAAAAACAAATTGAGATTCGTCGACTAATCGAACCTATAGACGTACAATACGACCTTACTCCAACAAATGATGGGCAAATGATTTTAGGAGACACGAAAAAAGAATATCAAATGCTTTTTTTTCTTCTTCTTGGATTGTTGTATTATTCCTAAATTAATCATTCCATATTTTGTATCTCAACGACTTTGATAAAGTTGGAAGACTAGTAGCTCAACCCACGACTTTTTTTTTTGTATAATAACTACCCACGAGTTATATATTATACAAATGTAATTGACCTAAGCCCAACCACTGCCCAGATCCGTTCTCTATGTTTTTTTTTTAAGGTTAAATCCCTTCTCTATGCTTTACTCCCTCAATTACCAACCTCAGAATATTCACTTCTTATTATTGTCAATCCTTAATTACGGACTTAGCAAATAAACAATTTTGGTTTAACGTACACACCCGCAAACCGACCCACTCGTCCAACCCGAACCAACCCACCCGTATTTATCGCTAAATCAAAGGTTTTGAGTTGAGTGAGGGTTTTCTTTTGTGCAACCCGCCTCTTTTGGGTTGGGTTTGGATTACACAACCCGTAGAACCCGACCTCCGTGTTCCAACTATTGGTATGAGTTTGTATCCAAAAAATATTGATGTCGTATATAGTCATACTTATGAGAAAATTAAGATATTTCGACATGTTTTTCTCTCATGAT